ATTTTCGTGAGAAAATTCTCGGAATTCTGGTGAGAAGCCGTGACCAGTGGAGCTAATCCGTGTCAAATAGAAAAAGCTGCCTACCTCAGTACAATGGTGTACGGTGGCGCAGCTTCGTGGATTGGTTGAGGTTAAATATTAACACCATTGGATGCCGGCAAGCTCAGTGATTCAGTAGGTTAAGTGTTCGCGCGCGAGACTATAGGCGCTGGGTTCGAGTCTCACGAGCAGGATCGTGGATGCACATTGCTGAGGAGTCCCACAATAGGACGAAATGGCCGTCCAGTACTTCCAGCTTTTCACTGGTGGTCTAACATCAATCGATTCAGTATCTCAATCAATACCAAACAGTCTCCGCAACCCCTATACGAATATATCAGAGTCATTACATTACAGAACATCAAACACAACTCAGCAAATAATTAATGAGCTGATATGATTTCAAGAACACTATTATACATGTATCAAATTCAGGTCCTCGGACATTAACGAGTGGATGAAATTCTACTTCATTCAAATAGTACGACAGAACCTGTGTTATATGAACACGTTTGTTTGTATGATGCATAGCTTCTAAAATGAAAAAAAGAGTTACTTACCTTTCATTGCAGAAATCTTTGCTTTTAAGCTCTCAACATACAGATCAAAAATGATCTGTTTTAAATCCTTAGGATGCTTTGGTTCGACATCTGAAAAAAGAAACAGGATTTGTCACAACAATAAGTAGTTCATTTGATTTTTGAGAATTGACGTTCACATTTAAGTACAGTGAACCAGATCACTACAGATAGATATGTGATTGTCAAGATTCAGAACACTACAGAATAAGGGTTACTCATGGACCATCATCATCGAAACATTACAATTAATGCTCGAAAGACAAAGAATAATGATTAAAACAACGAATGATTTTCAATAGAAACAAGTATTTCCACTCAATCAATGTTCCGGTCAATCAGTGTCATGTGGTTCAGTCATCATAATAAATTCAAGCGGTATACATTTGTCTAGAACCTATCTTAGCATTATCCAGATAGAAGGGAGGAACGACAAATTTATAAAACAGACTAATATGCCCAAACAATACTGAAAGTACAACAATCCATGTAAAGAGCATAAGTTTTACATCAGGTTTAAGTCAAGATTAAGGAATGATGGCGACGGCGAAAATGTTAGTGATATGACCCTACTTGTACACTGGATGAGACGTGAATATCTCAGCATGTATTTGCAAAAGTGCATTTTCAATAATAATGATAACTCACCAGTCTGTTCTGATGTATGAAGAAGCAAGAGCAGTGAAGCAACGTGAACCAAAACCAAACGAACCATATTCATTGAAACTACAGAATTTATTCTTCTGCTTATATATGATGATGAAACGAAGTAGGAAGATGGTGTGAATATTATTTACCATATAAATATCAACACAAGTAAGTAACATTTAGAGAGAATTAAAAGTTCAATGAATGAATTAAACACAAACACACACGTTGCATTCTTATTTGACCGACATTGGCATCTCTAAATGAAAGTTCAACCATCAATTAATTTTAAAGTGAATAGAGCTTTTTTTTAAAAAACCTTTCGTTGTGAATCAAGTTCGTCTCATTATTTTTCAAGAATGAAGTCTGTGTTTTCTGAAGAGAGAACAGTTGAGATCAGACGACCTTTCAAAGTAAGACAAATAAACTGAACAGTGCTGTTTACTGCTAATTAGAAAAGAGAATTTTATAAATACACTTTGCTCTTTATATCTGTCATCGTATGATCTCTAAACGCAATATCTAGGTAATTGTTTACCTGAATTACTAAAGTATTTTACCTGAAACATTAAACATTGAACAAATATTCATTTCTTTTGTAAGTTGTCTACTCATGAAACAAAATTTTCAAATTGGTTCCTGAAACTCGCTAATTAACTCACGTCCTCAGGTTAGGATTATCTGAACAAACTCACTCTGGAATCTCATTTCCAGTCGTTGTCAAGTGATATTCATTGGTTTGTTTCCTGCATCAAATTCCCGACACAATGTTTGGTTATGTCTCCCTCATTTCCTTTCGCCCTGAGGATTCTAATTCCTAGCTTGACTGTTGATGCAGTTTGATGATTTAAAGAATGTGCGTCCGATTCACCCTCAAAGACATCCAGTAAATTCCTCTCGAGTTAGAAGTTAGTTTGTTCCTTGCCACGATTGTTGGTTGCTGAATGTTCTTGTCCAACGGTTCTAAAGTGTCTAGTACAGAACACTGTTCGTAAATATCTGTATATGTTTATGATGATTGTGGCAGATCAGCACGTCTGTGGTGGAGGCCATCTACTCTGATTCTCCACATTGTTGAGGTAGATTTGATAAGCTTCTCCTATCAAACCAGTCGAATTATTTCTTGCAGTCAGGAACGTTGATGTTTAGTGGTGAGTTTCATTAATCTATCGTTCAGCAATGATCTGTAGAGTGGTGAATATAATTAGGATCATCTTTTTAGTTACCTGCATATTTGACTAAAATGCTTTAGCTGATATATTGTCTGGACCTTCTACGTTTTCAATGTTGATTCGTCGTATAACCTAGCTGATTTCCTGGATCGCCGGTCGAGAACGTCCAAAGAAATCTGTAAATGGTTCTTCGATATCAGGAGCTCATCAAAGTGTTCGAAACACCTGTCTAACTGACCTGACAATATATCACCTGAAGCACTGATATCAAACAGAGAAGTAGTTGCTAACATTCGTTACATTCTATTCAGGAAGATTTGGAAGGAGAAACAAGTGTGAATGACAGATTGGAAAGAAGTATACCTCACCACGATACCAAAGATAGAAAATCTGAAAAATGTGAGAACTACAGAAGCATCACATTGTTTTCAGCACCAGGAAAGGTTTTCAAAAGAATGTTGCTGAACAGGATGGAAGATTGCGTAGACTCTCAAACTCCAGATGATCATCGTTTAACAGTCGGTTGAACGGATCTGGTCAGTAAATATCGACTTTCTTGATTACGAGAAGGCATTCGGCAGTTTGGATAAGAGAACTTCATTGAACCTTGCTCGACACAATGGTGTACCTCGGATTATTGTCAACATCAGCCGGAATTTATAAGATGGATTACACTGCGATTTCATGCATGGAGGACAGTTGACAGACGCATTGCGAATGATGACCGAAGTTAGACAAGTCTGCTCATGTTCCCCTATCCTTTTTCTTCTGATGGTTGACTGGATTATTGAAACCGCGACACCTGAGGAGAAGCAAGAAATTTAATGAACATCCTGGATGCAACGAAACGATATGGACTTCACAGATGACCTAGTTCTTCTCTTTCATACACACCAACAAACGGAGGTGAAGAAAAAAGTGTAGTAGCAACAGCCTCTGCGTCAGTAGGCCTCAAATTACACAAGAGAAGAACCAAGATCCGCAAATACAACAAAGAGAAAACCATCAATGTTACACATGATAAAGCAACTGTGGCAGAGTTGAAAAATTCCACGTAACTGGACAGAACCATCGATGAACAGGAAGGATTCGATGCAGACGTAATAGTAGGGGGTTGACACAGAAAAGACATCATTCCTACAGGTTGAAGAACATATAGGACTCAAAACGAGTAACAACTAATATCAAATTCAGACTCTTCTATCTGAACGTCAAGGCAGTTCTACTGTACGGAACGTAGGATTCCAGTAACTACCACAACCATAATCAAGCATGTACAGGTATTTATAAACAGTTTTCCACCGAACGTACCATCAGCAAAATCCTACTGTGGGAGAGAACAACCAGCTCTCAAATGAATATTGCATCAGATGCATCTCTTCACTCTTTTGTTTGCTTCTGTGTATCCGGCCTATGTCTGGTCTTTCTCTGTTCCTGTTCGAACCGTTGTTAGTTGCTGTCACCTTATTATTCCTCTGTTGAACGGTGCCTAGGGTGTTGGTCGATATCCATTTTTTATGATGGTACGTCACGTGAGCCTGCATCTCCTGACATAGTCAGACTGGTGCTTATTTAGCCCATTTCCAGTTGTTATGCATAATATTCTCCTACTGTTTGAGTGTATCTTCTAAGGTTTGAGACCTGTTGCTGAGTGCTACCTTCAATTCACCGAGCTTATTTGTATCTGATATGAAGGTTAAATCGAACTCCCATAATGTTGCTTGTCCGATTGTCCACTGCTTCATTAGCTTCAATTTCAGCTTGTACATCTCCAGATGGTGATTTGAAGCTATGTCAACTCCTCTATTTGTTTTCACGTTTTCCACTGACTCGTCTGAACTTCTTGTTGACGTAGATGTAATAGATTTGGTTCTTTGTCGTGTCGTCTGTCGAAGTTCATGTAGCTTTGTGAATGCGTTCATGGAGGAGAATGATGACATCTATGTCTTCGCTGTTGAAAGCAGATAAAATTGATTTAATAGTGAGTTGAGGAGTTCGATTAAAACTAGGCTACCTCATGGAAAACTGAAAGTATTGGACGGTTGTTTGTTCTAGTATGGTATCCTCAGCAGTGCCTATCCACACCTCAACCAGAGAACGAGAATCCAAAGCCTCCAGTTCATATACGAACATTTAACCTCTAGACCGTTGAGCCGGTATCCAAAAGTGTTGATGTTTAACCTCAATCAATCCACGAAATTGCGCGACCATCTTACATTGTACTAAGGTAGATACTTGTCTCTACCCGATAAGGATTAGCTCCACTGGTTTAGAGGTTTAGCATTCGCGCGCGAGACTGAAGGCCCTGTGTTCGAATCCCTTCAAACGTGATCGTGAATGCGCACTGCTAAGAAGTCTCACAATAAGATGAAATGGCTGTCCAGGGCTTCCAGGTTTTCAATGGCGGTCAAACATCAATCGGGTTCGTGATCTTAATCAAAACTTAATAATCTCTACAAGCCAATACTGATAAATATAACATTGGCCACTACTCATTACTAATCAGTTGTTTTTAATATAATTAGTCAATCCTTTTTTAAATTCATTAGAGATAATCATCAACTTACTCGCATTCTCCTGGTCTTGAACAAGTTCCATGAACTGGATGACAACCAATATTGCATATTGCTAAGTATAAAACATATGGAATATAACAATTATCATATAATTTATATTTAATTATTTCAGTCTATAATATCTTTAAATTATTCAATAGAATAATTAACAATAATAATGAAGATTATGTTTTATCTGTAAGAAGTTCTATTTCCATATTGTTTGTATTGGAAACAGCCCGACCGTTGTTGCTACCTTGACGTGATGGTCGGGCTCGCCTATCGTGATGAACCAGTTGAGCTATACTAGTTGGAACATTCGTTCCTCATGGTCCTACCATCCCAAACAGGTATGTTGAAGAGCGGTAAGACTAAAAGCAACAAACCCAAGGTCCAGAGGTGAAGTCGTACTGCTAACTGTACGGAGGTGTGACGGTAGTAAGGTGTTTCCTTCAGACAACCAGCGTAACAGCAATGCTGCGTGTAGGGTTAGAAAAGGTCGACCCTAGGAATACACACCCCGCCTTATCCCACGATATCCATCTCCGGTGGTAGGGTCTCAACAATTACGGAGCTAACACGAAAATTACTCACGAAAAGGTCGTGTGTGACCGTCCTCAGGCAGTTGTCGCTTGGGCACTGCATCACGCTCACAGGTCACTAAGACCACCACCAGTCCAACTTCCTTTTTAGATACCTCCATTGGAAACAGAGTTGGCTCAATCTTTGTTGACATACAAACTCATTTAGTCAATGTTCTCATATGATCCCTTTGAATAAATACTGATAATATTTTAGTTAGTAGATAACATTGAAATCTAGAATGGATATTTTATTATACTGGGAACTAAGTTAATGGGATATACATGAATTGGTATTGGTATTTACTCTAAGAGTCGAAAATGGTAACTATTACGCAACACATAATAGTGCTATTCATCAGACTATTGAATTAAGATAGCCAGAAGACTGGTTTAAACCCTAATGGGAATGTCAACTCTATGGAACAGGCATATCAAACTGACAAGTTTCAACTGGAACAAAACATGCATTCTGATTTTCTCTACTAATCACCGTGAATGACTTCATTTTTGTTTTCTTGATTTAAAGTTTATTACCATGAACACATCATAATAAGTTTAAGACTGACTGCTTTGAATTGTGATCATAAATAGAATATCTCTGAACAAATGTAATTAGTTACATTTGTTTCAAACTTGCTCAAAATGAATTGTCTATTTGGATATGAAGTTCAAAAGAGAATTATTAGATACCAAGTCAGTGAGCAGTCATGAGTGCGATCCCTGATGAAATTGTCAGAGTCCATTGTTGATAAGTTTTACATTGTAATAATAAATAGTCTGTTTAAGTTCTTTATGGTTAATAATGATTATATCATCAACAACAGTCTGTTGTGGGAGAGAACATATCAGCTTCCAGCTGAGGAAGAAATTAAGAAAAAAAAACGCTAGAAGTGGATAGGAAATACATTGAGGAAATCATCAAACTACATCATGAAGCAAGCGCTAACTTGAAATCGTGAAAGGAAATGGAAAAGAGAAAGAACAAAACAACACATTACATCGGAAATTAGAAGGACAGATCAAAAGAATGAAAAGCAACTGTAAACAAGTGAAAAGGATTGTTGAGAATAGAGTTGGGTGGAGAATGTTAGTGAGCAGTTTATACTTCTCTAAAAGAAGTAACAGGCGTAAGTAAGTAAATGAGTATAATGATTATCTAACTCACTATTGTTAATTCTATAATATAAATCTATTCTTATAAAATTGTTCAATAGTTACACATCATCTAAATTACAGTTTGTTTCGCTTGTTTTCTTTATCATATAAAAAATGGTACAAAACAAGAAAAACATTACCATTGTTACAAGAAGGCACCAAATAGATATGCACCACATAAATCATTCGATTTATGTGAGGGCTAGAATACTGACCGGGTACTCAAAACGAAGTAGGTGATTTCCCTAGGAGGTCACAACCGGAGCCTTTGACAAAATAGTCTGATCCACAAGACAATGGAGCAACATAAGGAGATGCAGTCCCATGGTAGCCGGTGAAAAACAATTGGTTCATGCACCATTTGCTCCTTCAGCATACTGGAGCTCATGTACACCATCGGTTTGGAATGAGGGTTCTCCTACTCCTATAGGTGGACTATCCATATCCACCAACCTGGTTACAGCGCTAGACATTCGATTTTCGTCCTCTGAATTTCGTAAACAACAGTAATGCCTCCAAAAGTTAGTGAGTAGGAGAGTTGACTCTCTTCACTCTCGACTGTACCAAAGCATTTGGGAGTAATAGTTGTTTAGATAATAATAAAATAAAAATGTCACTATTTTAATCAATTTAAATCTTTTTCATTACAATCGTCAATATTTTTCTTTTTTTTTTGTTTTTCTCTCTTCTTTTTTTTGTTTTTCTCATTTCATAAACTTTGAAAATTGAAAATGGAATTTGTCTTTTGATTTTATGATTGATTATGAAGGAACAAAATAAAGTGAGAGAGGGGGGGGTAAAGAGAAGGAGTAAAGGAAAGAAAAGTTCAGAAGTGATTTTTTTTTGCAAAAATAACCGAAAAAAAAAGGAAAAGTAAATTAATATTTAAATTCACTTGGTGTTGTTTTTTTTACTTGTATCTTTCGATTGTTACTTAGGGACTGAAATTGACTAGTCTCTTGTTGGCATATAAATATCCTGGGCGGATTACCTTGATATAGCCTTAAATCACAAGTTTTTTTTAAAGTAAAAATGGTTAGTGGCTAGCAGTGGAATACAAGATGTGCGTTTCGTTCTATTTGGGACTTATCAGCTGAATGTGCCTGCATCTCAGAGTTGATGTTCATTCTGAGACTCGAACCCAGTACCGTTCGCTTCAAACACCATCACGTTATGCACTTAGCTACTGTATTAAAATATGGATTAAATGGATGATATAATATACCAACTATCCTACAACCAATTTCTATCATGGTTAATTTTTGTTAGGCCCTTTCATCAATCTACTTAACAGACAATGTTATTTGAACAGTAGCAATACGTCAACTTCTTTGTACTGTTATGAACACTAGAGGACATAACGGACTCGAGCTAAAATGTTGGTCGCTTAAATATCACTCGATGATTCATTCTCCTCCCCATGTGCATATGTACTTAAATCCTATTATTAGTTTTTGCTTTGGCTTGCTGTGCCCTTATGCAATTTGATGACTATAAATTTGCCTATATATTTGCTCATATATACTTATTCGCCTCTCCGCTTCAAATTCGCTTAATATGCTTATAGCTTTGTGATTTGGGTTATCCGCTGATAAACTGTAGTTGCCGCTTCTCATTGCTTTCTGATTTCAAACATCGAGGTGGTCGATTAACGAAGCAAAGCCACTACAATAATATCCAAATGAAATCCCTTAGTTTATTCAACAGCGATAGTTTTTGCCTCGCTTCAACCTGTATTACTTACAATATTTCATTTAAAAGAGGGAAGAATATGGTTCTTGTCAAGTGAATTTTAGTTATTCCCAGCATGAGGGTGTCCAAAATATGATACATCTAAGTATGTCATCATTATGAACAATGATGAAACTAGAATCAAACTAAATAGTAATCAGAAGGTTTTTTGTGGATATTGTAATAATAATAATGATTAAGTCCATAAGCGAATTAAAGTTAGACCACCATGGATGCCAGCCCAGTGGTCTAGAGGTTAAGTGCTCGCGTGCTAGACCGATCGATCCCGGTTTCGAATCCTGCTGGGCGGTATCGTGGGTGAGCACTGCTGGGTAGTCCCATACTAGGACGAAACGACTGTCCAGTGCTTCCGAGTTTTTTATGGTGGTCTCGCTTCAAATGACTCATAAACTCAACCCTTAGATGGTAATCACTTAGAAATTAGTTAGGGTCAGTCTAATAACTTATATTCATCATTACCCATCTGAACAATATTTACATCACACAAATAGGCATGAAAAATAACTGGTTATATTCATCACAGAATAAACTCACCAAGGATCACCAGACAAATGGTTGGTCTTAGTATGAGACTCTATAGAATTTCACACTCAAAACCCAACTAGCCATCGAACCCAAGAACTTCATATCCTTAATTTAAATTATTAAAGCCAACAGTCTCTATAAACTACCTACAGTAATAATGATAATAAGGCAAACGCTTAGTCATTTGAACCAGTGGGTCGGTGCCAAATAGTACAATTTCAATTTCAACCAGCTTTCCATATTTTGTTTAATGATTATCCAGTCCTATTAATGATAAATGTCTCATCCCCGATATGTCCGAATTCCACCAGTTATGATTTCTAGTAAATATGTAAAACTAGGTTGTTCATTACTGGCACAAAACACTTATCTAGATCATCTTGGTTTTCTGTGATATCTCATATGAGATCGATTTGTGACAGATGCTACTTACAAATTAAAAGATTGTAGAAGGTTAAAGATAAACAGACAGAATAATAAATAATTCATTCAATTACCTTTATCGCATTCAGTTCCACTCCAACCAGGTTCACATATTTTATCACCATTTGCATCACATTTAAATTTTGTATGATTATCATTTGTTTGACATACTTTTGTACAATCATTACCATAATGATTTAGTTCACATGTTAATTGTATACAAAATGTATAACCGGAATATTGTGTTGATATAGTAACTTGATGCCAATCTGTAGATTGTTTTGTAGAAGAAATTAATGGACGTAATAGACCACGATGTATAGCTCGATCAATTAAATATTTTTCATTTTGATTAACTAAATCATATGCTTCTAATATTACTGTGAATAAACGCTGGAAAAGATAATAAACAATGAGAGGGGAAAAATTTATATTTGTCCATTTATTTATTTATTTAGAGATAGTAGATTGAAAATAGAAATCCATCCCCAAATACTCTGAAACAGCCGAGAATAGAGAGAGTCAATTCTCCTACTCACTAACCTTTGGCGGCATTACTGTTGTTTACGAAATTCAGAGGACGAAAATTGAATGTCTGGCTCTGTAACCAGGTTGGTGGATATGGATAGTCCACCTATGGGAGTAGGAAAACCCTCATTCCAAACCAATGGTATACATGGGCTCCAGTATGCTGAAGGAGCAAATGGTGCATGAACCAATTGTTTTTCACCGGCTACCATGGGACTGCATCTCCTTATGTTACTCCATTGTCTTGTGGATCAGACTTCTAGATCAAAGGCTCCGGGTGTGGCCTCCTAAGAAGGTCACTTACTTCGGTCTGGGCACCCAGACAGTATCACAGCCCAATCACAAATCGACTGATTTATGTGGTGCATATCTATTTGGTGCCTCTTTGTACTAATATTTATGTGTTCAAATAAATAAATAAAATAAAATAGAAACCTGCTTTACGGCGAGACTCTAATTTATGGACGACCTTTGAACGAATCTCAAACAACTTTGAGAAATATTAGCCAATCATCAAACAGTCAGTATAGAGTAAAAATATATTATACAAAACCAAAGAATTAAACTGGATACACTTCTTAGACGTGGTTCAAAAACTTGTCATAGTTAGAAAGAGGTTCAGAGGTTCTAAAATCCTAATGCATGCAGTAGAGGAAATCATCCATATGGCTACAGAATAGTCGGCCTCTGGAGTCATGATAAAGTCTCAAATACTCTTTCAACCTCGACCACATAGCTTCAATATTGTTTATGTGCACTCCGGTTGTTGAGTGCACGAAATACTACTTGTGGATAACCACACGATGCACATAACCAAGCCTATGTAGGAGTCTGTACGCTCTCCAAACATCGTATATATTGTAGTACCTGGCTGCAGCCAGTGTTAATGGTGCTTTTGTTATCCAGTTCGCAATAATTGTCGTAATTTGCCTTAGTCAGCAATTATATATGGGTTTTTCATCACGAACTGACATCAACTATAATACCAAAACTCTATTTAGCCAAATGGATGAAAGACTTTCATACCAAAATTCGAGATCTATTATCTTATTTATATCTGATTGATTCGTTCACAAATTATAGTCTTGCCGTTTTATTTGTTATAGCCGCTCAATTATCACGTTTTGTACCACATTCCATGTGAACCGATCGTACGTTAGCATTAAGCACTGAAGTTGGCACCGTAACCTTGAAATCTCTAAAATGCTTCTGATTGGCTCGTCCATTAATTAGAGTCTCGCCTACTTTACTGTTGATGTTGAATGACTCTCAAAATGACTGGGAAAAAGTAATATCTATCAAATCTTAGCCAATCAGAATAAAGGTGATGTAAATGAATAATACTCACATAAAACCTCAAAAATACGTTAAGATTAAAATTGTGACCCTTCCCAATCTCCCAATGTTGGGGAAGTGGCACCAAAACCCCGAAATTTCCCCCAGATCTGGGCAATTTCCTCATTTTTTTTAGGTTTTTCCTTAATATTTCCTCTAAATTGGTTTATGGTTTAGGGCTAATGGTAAGAGGGAACAGTAGTGTTTACGAATAACTTGGAAAAAAAGCTTTAATTGTGAATAATTTTAATTTAATGTTAGTCTTATATCCATTCCCATTCCATTTGGTTTCTATTAATTCCTCCATAGAAAATTCATCACATTCTCAACATCATCTAAAGAATGCTTGAAATCAGTCCCTATTCTTCAAACTAATCATATTTCTTAATTTGATTTGTCTTGGTAATTAAATGTTCATAAAATGTTACATATATCTTACTTTTTAATAAGATATAAATTATCCGTCACTGCGTTTTGAACCGACAGTTTGCTATCTTAAATCTGATTGGTTTGTTAACAAGTCATACTTTTAACCAATAGTAAAGAAGTTTGTAAGGATTTATGCCTAATGTGTAACTAAGTTGATATGAAATTAAGTTATTATTGAATATGAAACATGAAACAATTGTGTCAACTAGTTTTGTTGTACTCATAATGAAGTAACATTTGGTCCGAATAAGCTGATATTAGAATAGATGCATGAATAAACATTATTTGATAGTACTTCAAAGTTAATTAAGCATGATCAAATGTATTCTCGAATTAAGAATATTTGTATATTTGAACATATTTTAGTGTTAGCAACAGTCATATGAAAGATTCACCTAACAACAGATTAAGTGGATACAAATATTTTTTTATGATTCAATATTTAGTTACTATTGGACTATTTTGAGCTAAGTGTTCCGGTTGTCAAAGATAATGAAGTTAGAATGTATTGGTTGTTTGAATCTTCCCATTGATTTATAGGAGTGCATCTTGTGAGGATTCCTTCGATATTATCTTCAGTCAAAAACATTATAAACGGAAATGATGGTGGCCAGTAGTGGAATCCAGGACGTTCGTTCCATTCACTCCAGGACTCGAACCCAGTACCGTTCACTTAAAATATCATCGTGCTATCCATTTAGCTACTGATTGCAGATAGTCACTGACTTGTGTAACGGGATGAAGTTTAATTCAGTTTTGTATTGGCTATCAGGACTTAGCAGCTAAGTGGATAACTCGATGGTGTGTGACGTGAACGGTACTGGGTTTGAGTCTCGAAGTAAACATCAATTCTAGGATGCAGGTACATCCGGCTGACGAGTCCCGAATAGGATGAAAACCACATCTCAGATTCCATTGCTAGGCACCATCACCTCTACTTATAATTTAATAAATAGTTTTTACTTGTTCTAAATCGACAAACATTTGTCTAAGACGTTTTGTAAGGTTCTGTGTTTGTAATTTGAACATGATTTTCCTCATAAAATGAAAACAGATTGAGTACATTTTAAAAGCCAAAGCAGATTAAGAATATTTCTATTTCAAAGGCAATCAAAACTGGAATTTTATGAGTACGGAGGTGAATGAACTATTTTGTCAAACTAATGATGTTGAACAATGTGTACTGTTTAGTTGGCAATTCAATAATTTTAATGTACAGTCGTTACTAAGAGACTTGAAGCTGACTGGTACAATATAACACATGACTACAAGTATAGATTGCTAAGAAATGTTAAAACAAGATGAGCCAGTTAACCATTACTTCGCTTACCTCCAAATACCCTTTAGCTAATTTCCATACATGATGAAATTCTCTTGAAAATACTTGAAAATTATAACTAAGTAAATTTCTATACTTTTCAGTAGGCAACCTCATGTCAAAGGAAACATTTAATTATTTTTCCGTTGTACATCACAGACTAATCTTATTTCGACAATCATCGAAAACTGAAGAGCACTAAACAAATCATTCGTTTTAATGTGTGCCACCCTAAACATTAAGCATTCATTAATCCATCAATTATTGAATTCGGAATTTCCAGGTCTCACAACAAGCCTTTAACCTTCATTATAATACCGAGTTAGGATCAAATCGCTTTCGTCTAGTCATATACCGATCTGTAATCGCTAACCTCCAAATGCCCTGCTACGGCCGAGAGTTGAAAGAGTCATCTCTCTCTCTCTGTCTCTCTCTCGAAATCCTCTCACATGACCACGTGCATACAACAACTATCACGGAAGTCCTACGCACTGTCTTCTCGTGACGGGGGTGTTCTTTACAAAATCGAAAGGACGAAACACGAATGTCCGGAGCTCTAACCGAGTTTGTGAACACAGAGAGTCCACCTAAAGATGTTGGAAAACCCTGAATTCAAACAAATGGTGTACATCGGTTCAAGGACCCCGAAGGAACAAATGGTGTATGAACCTATTTTTGGACACTGGCAACTATTGGATTGCATCTCCTTACGTTGCTCCACAGCCTTGTGGATCAGACCTTTGGATCAAAGGCTCCGGAAAGTGTTCTCGTAAGAAAACTAACTGTGTCAGTCTAGAGACTCGTGTAGGATCCCAACCCACACATAAATCAAATGACGAAGTGTGTGACATACGTATTTGTCGCCTCTTTGTACAAATATTTATATAATTTCAACAGTTGGGGTCATGAGTCAACTGAAGCTAGACCACCATGGAAAACCTGGAAGCATTGGACGGCTGTTTCGTCGTATTGTGAGACTCCTCAGCAATGCTCATCTACGACCCCGCCTCGCGAGATTCGAACCCAGGACCTATCAGTCTCGCGCCAGGCGCTTAGCCAACTAGACCACTGAGCCGGCTGTCATCCGACGGTGTTAATGTCTAACTTCGACTTATCCACGAATATCCACCAATATTTATATGTCTAAATATATAAATAAAATAATCACTTCATTGATTAACTTATTTTATATTTCAATCTTTAAGGTCAAAGTCAGTTCATTGAAATTGTATCTAACTCTTTTTTTTCAAATGAACAACTGTCTTCTCCTTCTTTATTTCTTTTTGTTGTTATTGTTACCCCCAAAACCAAGCAATCCTCATTCATTCATTCATTGAATTTAGTTTTTTTCTTTTTTTAATTTCAAATATTTGTTACTATGGTGGCATTGAAGACATCAAAATCAATTTTCTTTAAAAGAAAAAAATTATTGAATAATTAAATTTCCACCCTAATAAACACTCTCCTAAAAAACCAATAACACCACCATCACCATCAGTGTCATCACCACCACCAACACCACCACCACCATCACTATCAACACCACCACCCACAACAACAATAAATACAAATTACATCATATTCAATAAATAAAAAATAGGTAACAACAAAATTCATTTGAAATCAATGGACTGTTAAAAATAAAAATAAAAAATTTTTTTTCTTCTTTGATAAATTTCAAATTCAATTCATGAACAAAACTAAAAAAAATTTTTTCTCCAAACAAAAAAAAAATAAAAAAATAATAATAATGACAATGTCCTGTTTAATCAATTTTCAATGGAATAGGAGATAACACAACAAACAAACAAACAAACAATCATTCGGAAATGATTTGAGTCATTATTGTTATTATTATTTATACCTTAGTTACAATGGATATAGATCATAAATAGAGGACAATGGTGATATGTATACACACACGTGTACACATGGGATCTAATTCATTTTCCTTGTTTCACTATCTTTTATTCCTTTTTTCTTTTTTTTTTGTTCAAGAAAAACAATCATCATTTGAATTTCTAATATCCCGCGAAATACAGATCGATGTATATGTAAACAGAAAAGAAAAGAAGCAGAAACTGAAGAGTTCGTTATTATTATTATTCTTATTTTGAAATAATCCAATGTATATTGAATATGACAAATGAATCAAATTTGAATAAAGGAAGTCCTAGTGTTTTCCTGAATTGATATTCCCTAGTGTGATCTAATTCATTACTTAGACTATTGTTATTTTCCATGGTTAAGATCATGAGTCACTTGAAGCTAGAACACCATGGAAAACCTAGACGCACTGGACGGCTCAGTGGTCTAGTGGTTAAGTGCTCGAGTGCGAAACCAGTGGGTCCTGGGTTTGAATCTCGCAGGGGCGAGGTCGTGGATGCGCACTGCTGAGAAGTCCCACCATAGGACGAAACGGCCATCCAATGCTTCCAGGTTTTCCATGGTGGGCTAGCTTCGACTGACTCATGATCTTATCCATTGAAATTACTATAATATCCACAAAACCCATCTGATATTATTATTTTGATGGAGTTTTTTTCTCTGTGCTGGATGGTTTGGTCGTGGAGCTTTCATAGTTTTTCTGAACAACATCATCAGCACAAATTTCAAATTAAAGTGAGGCGTTCGAATTTCTCCACATGTGGTTCACAGCTTGTCCTGTACCATGAAACTATCAAAATCATTCACTTGAGCTACGAATCTCCACTATTATTATTATCACCATTACTATTATTGTTATTATTATTATTATTATGAAGTCGATCTTGAAGATGATGCATTGAGAAGAGAAATGAATATTGTAGAGTAAAACAATGTTCAACTATCTTATACACTAATACTTGTGATGTGAACAGACAAACAAGAAGCTTTGATAAACTATGGAAGCCATTTTTGGAGGAACGTTATTCCATTTAATACAAAGCTATGAACTACATGTGGAGAAATTCAAACATTTTACTTCTACCTGAAGTTTGTATTGTGGATAATGTCGTTCTGAAGAACGATGTCAAGCTCCACAACTAAATCATTAAGCTTAGAGAATTAAAACTCCATCAAAAAAAAGAGAAGAACGATTGAAATTCATTATTTATCTCATCAAACCTTTTTTACAACTTTGATGTTATTGTCTCGTTTGCTCACTCACTCACTCATTCACTCACTCACTCACTCACTCATTCACTCACTCGTTCATTCATTCATCTCACTCACTCACTCACTCACTCACTCACTCACTCACTCACTCACTCACTCACTCACTCACTCACTCACTCACTCACTCATTCACTCATTCACTCATAGACTTTCTTAGTATCAACCCTTATTGATTTAACGAACTAACCAATCAATCAATCAATCGATTTCTGTCTATTCTAACTTGTGAATGATTATAATCATAATATTTGTTTTAAGTAGTATTTATGAGAAAAAGAGAAAAAAAAATTTTTAGTTTTAAATATATCCCCTTTTTGGTAAAAACCTTTGTATATAATTAAATCTAGTTAAATCCCATGCGACTCTATGGTTATGAGTAGGAACTCTATTACTTTTCTACACATACACACGTGCACGCATACATGCATACATGTATATGGATATACACATATATAAAAAGAAACTTGAATACTTATGAAATGTTTTATTTAATCCTACCACTGAATAGATATATAGTACTATAATAACTGCTGTTATTACTACTATTACTACTACTACTACTACTACTACTATTACTACTGTCTAAGATACTACTAATTAAAATTTTTATACTCATAATAATAAAGTTATTATCTTTTGTGGGTTTGTTGATGTATGTAGATAATTATTAACTGGGTTTATTTTCATTTTGTTTGTGTTTTTCACTATTCCACTTTACTTGTGTAACTATGTATGTATGTGAGTGAGTGAGTGAGTGAGTGAGTAAGTGAGTAAATGAATGAATGAATGGGATTGTCCACATACACACACATATATATATACGTACATACATCTGTATATATGTGTCGACACAAATAGAAGTACATCAGCATAATTATTTAACTTTTATCCTACTATTAAAATCTTCATCAATCTGGGCTTTATGTTGTTGTTGTTCTTGTTGTTGTCACTTTTGCGTGTTCAATTTCGTTGGATTATACAAAATGGTGAGAGAGAAATTGACGGCAACCACTATGATCAACATCAGCAGAAACATAACGAACAATAATGAATCGATAACAAAATATTAATTAATCACCTAATCATTATAATCATAATAATATTAACTTTAATCAGAGAAGGGTTTTTGTGGATATTATAGTAATTTAATGGTTGAATTTATGATTCAATTGAAGCTAGACCATCATGGAAAACCTGGAAGTACTGAACAGTGATTCGATTTGGTGGATTGGTTGAAGTGAGACATCAGCACCGTTGGATGCTGGCCGGTGTAGAACTTAAGCACTGGCGAATGAGACCGATCGCTCCTGGATTCGAATTTCGCGAGGCGGGGTCGTTGGTGTGTACTGCTGAGGAGATTCATACTAAGATGAAATGGCTGTTCAGTGCTTCCAAATTTTTCATGGTGGTGTAGCTTCAATTGATTCATGAATTCAACTATTAAATAATGACTTAATATGTACTACTAAGACTTACTACTCATAAAAGCAAATATAACAAATACAACTATAAATACGAATGTACAGCTTAAGTAAATGATTTCGTTGAAAAGACATTTGGAGAGACTATAATTTATGGACGAACCAATCAGGTATAAGATAACAAATCTCGGATTTTGACGTGAACTTCACTTATCCATTTGGCTAAATAGAGTTTTAGCATTATAGCTGGTGTCAGTTCGTAATGAAAACCTTAAATTTAACTCTCGACAGATATATCCATCAACTCAAGTTACAATATTAAATTAGCACTGTGAGATGAAATTCTGAAGACTAATGCCAGAATAATAGAACTAGTGATAATGTTTTAAGTAGTAGAAAAGATTCGATATACACAACGTGATTCAAAAAGGAAGAATGAATTCATAGAGAGAGAAAAAAAGTATGAGTTAATCTCAAAACCCAACATCTAAGGGAATACAAGGAGTGAATAAATATATGTCACTGAAACATATTCTG